ACCTACCTGGGCACTATTTTCTCAACTTGAGTTAAATTATAGAAAATTATAAACAGGGTGCCAGGCACAGAACAGTCACTAACAGAAAACTGAATTCAGCTCTGACCTTTATCTTTTAAAGTGATAACTCTCCAAAATTGTGAAAAGGTTAACTAATCCCTTCAAAGGTCACCTGTCTTTAAACAAGCTACAGTATATACAATCTTTTTTGGCTATTGTAGAACAATTCATCAATAACTCATTACAATATCACTGTTTCTTCCTGGGGGCTTTTATGTTTTCTTTTCAGATTAATTTCCTTTTATTTTCCTTACTATAAAAATGAACTTACTTTCAAATCAATGAAAAGATGATTAGAAAGTGTTAGGGGTGATAATGGGAGCCCCTAATCTATTTGATGACACCCCCCCATCAATTTGATGAGATTGCAGGGAATGGACCTTTGCCAATAGGCATCTCTCAAGGAAGTATAGATGTGCTTCCTCCACTCCCCCACCTCAACCAAGAGCAGAAAATAGAGGCTGGCAGGACAAAGACATTGCAGGTTGCCCATATATGCGCAGGTGACCTGAAGGGGGAAATAACAGATTTTCACCTCCTTTTTACCTTCTGCCTAGCTGCTTTCTTTATGAATAGAGGTAATGATACAAACATCCCTGAGAAGGAAGATTCCATGCAAATTTGAGTATTCTCAAAAGATGGTTCCTTAGTTTAAGAGTGACATGCCAGCCTAGTAAACGGGGAAAGTTCCTCAAAAGCTTTTGTTTTGGAAAATAAAGAGGATCCTAGGGAGTTTTCGCTGGAACCAGAGGACGAAAGTAATGCCATGAGGCAGAGAAAGACGGCAAGAGGAGAAGGGACTGGGATTTTATCTATCTTTCTGTCTATGGAATTGTTTGGAAAGTGCAGGCCTGAAGTAAAAGGAGAATATTTGTTCAGCAGTCCCCTATAGGGCCTCCATCTTCTGAAAAGTTTAGAAATAATGGGCTGAATGCTCTATGTTCCTGTATTTATTCATTAGCTCTTACGTGTTCTTTGTAAGATATATTTTCTTTAGTGTATTAAGTACAGGCTATCCTGTATCTCATACTCAGTGTTCGTATTGTACTGTTCCAATGCAAAAGCTGGGGACTCACTTTTGGGGAACCAGAAATAAACCATGCCTAAGCTTTCTTTTAGAGACTTTTCCCAGAGAAAAACTGGGGTTGGGACTTTAGGCAAGAAGAGAAAACTCACCCTTTGGTATTAGCATTAAGCATTGACCTGATCTGTGTAAGCAAAACAATGCAAACAAAACACAGATATATAGTAGGAGAAATATTGCTTCCTGGAGTCTTGATATGGGGTCTGGGTTAACTTTTCTTAAGACCCCAACCATGAAAGTTAAGCTAGTTTTTCCTTAAAAACATATTGAAACCGTCCTTGAGTTTTGATTGGATCAGGGGTTGAGGCTTGGGCTTCCTGGTGACCTAAAGGTATAAAACAGTACTGCTGCTGGGCAGTCAGGGACCTTCAGACAAGAGGCCCACATCCTCTCCAGCTGCCTAGATTCATAAAAACCCCAAGGCTTTGTTCCACCTGAGTTAAGTAGCATGCCCTTGTTGAGGATCCTTTCTATGCTATATCTATTTTTTTTATTTCATTCCAATTCCAAGCCAGGAGCTTAATAATAACATTTTTAAGAGAGTCTGTTATGTGCCAGGCATTATGCTAAGTGCTTTACAATTATTATCTTATTTGATCCTCACAACAACTTAGGGTGGTAGGTGCTATTGTGCTATTATTATTCTCATTTTACAGATGAGGAAAATGATGCATGTATCAGTTAAGTGACTTGGCCAGACCACATAGCTAGTAAGTAAGTGTCTGAGGCTAAATTTGAACACAGGTCTTCCTGACAACAGTCCCAGCACTCTATCCACTGAACCATCTCTCTGCCCAATAATGGCCTGAAGCAGATCACTCACTATGAAGGGAATCTATAAGGCGTATTCAAAGGTTAGTGAGCAAATCAATCTGTATGAAGTAACAAGTTAGGTTTGAAAAAAAGTTGAGAATAACTTTGAAAAGACATTTTGGGGACAAAAAAGTCTTAAAAGCCAGGCTTCAAAATTTAACTTTATTTTGTGTGCATCTGTAATGGGGTAGCTACACTCACATATACAAATAAGCCCCGGTATATAGAAGACATTTCCTCTATGCTGATGCAACAGTCTCTTCTGTGGACCATAGAATAGGAAATATAAATGGGTGGATACCAGATGCTACCCTGGTACCTATCTGTATGCTTACCTCTATAGAGCCTTGGCCCAAGTTTGTTTATTGATTCCATCTATAGTTTAAAATGAAATATCATTTTCAAGTAAAACTTCATATGTATCAAAGCTTACTCATATCTTCCCCACCCCATTTTCCTTGGACATTCTTATCTCCTTCCCAAGTTTATATGCCACAAAAGTAAAATGCATTTGTATTATAAAGCAAAGTAAATTTGTTGTATAGAATTAGATTTTTGATGATATAGTATTAAAACTCTTAAGTAGCAATCGATTATGGCATCCTAACCCCCAGCTCTGTTCAGAACTTTCCTTTTGCCAAGGGAAAAGATACTCTGAGAGGCCCTTTGAAGAGGATAGTTATTGGCCATTCTGCACAATATCACAGTCATTCAGATGAGAAGCTATTGCATTCCATTCTCTCATTTTACAGCCTTGCTCAGAAAGATAGCTAACTGCCTCCATTAGAATCACTATAGAAGCTTCGTGGCACAGTGGATAAAGCACAGGGACTGGAGTCAAGAAGACTCATTTTTATGAGTTCAAATCTGGCCTCAGCCACTTACTAGCTGTGTGACCCCAGGCAAGTCACTTAATTCTGTTTGCCTCAGTTTCCTCAATTGTAAAAGGAGCTGGAGAAGGAAATGGCAAACCACTCCAGCATCTTTGCCAAAGAAAACTTCAAATGGGGTCACGAAGAATTGGTCATGATTAAGATGACTAAACAACAAAAGGAGTCGCTACTTCCTTGTTGTTTATTATAATCCAGAGATCACTAATGGTCCCCTCAGAAGTGTATGACATGATCCTGAGTTACTCCCGTAGCTGAGGCCCCACAAACGCATGCTGCAAACTCACCATGCATGTTGTATCTCGGTTGGAGTTTTCCATATATCCTGGTGCCATGTGGCTCATCACATAGGGTGTATGTTCTAGCCCTAAATTCTACATGCCTGAAAGGGGGCAGTTTCCCTTGCTCTTTTGTCACAGAGAAAGTAATTTCCACTCTAAAATTTTTGTTCAGGAGGCTTATTGCTTGTGTCATTTCTCTCTGGTAGTCCTCACTGCTCTGGTTGTATTTATTTTGTGACTTGGTGTTTCTCTCTTGTGTGGTTCCCCAGCCTGATGAGATAAAGTAATCCAATCTCTTAGTTTTAAATGTACTCTTCTTAAAAATTAACTACCAAAAAAAAAAATTAACTACCTTCCATTGCTTTACTTTTGGGCGGCTAGGTGGCACAATGGATAGATTGCTGGGCCTAGAGTCAAGAAGATTCTTCTTCCTGATTTCAAATCCAGCCTCAGACAGTTACTAGCTATGGGACTCTGGGCAAGTCACTTAACCACTTTTTCCTCAGTTCCTTATCTGTAAAGTGATATACATGGTGATATAAAAAAAAATAATCCCAAATGGGATCACTAAAAGTCAGACATGACTGAAAATAACTGACCAACAAGAAAAATTTCTTTACTCAACACAATTCTGGTAATTCCTCTTAATGTCCTGCATTTCTCTTTCTTATCTGGCATACAGGTAGAGATTACATGAGTATGGGATGGAAAAGATAAGCTTGTCCAAGTTAGTATTACATACTGGAGAACCATAGAAGAGAATTAGCAGGGTAGTGTCACAAATAGGTGCTACTGGAGGGATAATAATCTGTCAATGCATAAATGATAGTTTTGAGAAGAGCTATCTGGAAAGGGAAAATAAACTACAATAGTGGTAGTAAGTATCAAAATATAAGAACAGATTCAAGATACATTACAAAGGAAAGATTAATAAAAATTAGTGATTGAATATAGGGGCATAAATTCTGGGTTTTGAATTATAATTCAGAGATAGATTATAAGCCAATGTGATTTGGGGAATGATGAGCCATCTTATTTACATAAATAGAGAAGTAAGGAGGGAGAAGTGGTTTTGAAGGGAAGATGATGGGTTCAGATTTGGATATGTAGAGTTTTAGGTGATTGTGAGAAATGATGAGAGGTGAGAGCTAGAGATAGATTTAAAATTACCTTACTATAGATGAGACCTGAATTTAAAGAATGTATAAAATTCCCAAAAGAAAATGAATATGAAAAGAAGAGAGGGCTGAAGAAAGAACATGGCATAATACACACAATGGGGTGGCAAGAGCAAGGAAAGAAGACACAAAGAGGTCAAAGAGGTCAAAGAATCAGGATGGGGAGGAAGATCACAAAAAGCAAGATAAAAGGGCTTCAGAAACTGTGAAATATTACAGAGAATTTCTACTTGGGCAAGGCAAAAAGTGGAAGCAGATCTCTTTAATTTCATAGTTTTTCTCTTCTCCAGTTTGTCAATTAGCATTGCTAGGATAATTTGCAAGTTTTTTTCTCTTCTCTTCATTCCCTCAAAGTGAAAGCTCAATTGATTTCTTTCATGGCATGCTTTTTACTAAGCATTTGAAAAACATATTGTAGGGTAATGTAGTATAGGGTAAGGTAGACTGGGGTAGGATAGAGTATGGAAGTATAGCTGGATCTGAAGTCAGAAGACAGTTTAAATTCTTGCTCTTCAACTTATGAAACCTTGGACAAAGTCCTTTTCCACTTTTGACTAGCTTTCTTTATAAGTGAAGTGAAGAGGATTGAACTAGGTGTTTCATTCTTCTATGATCCTAGCATCAGATGAAATACCATGACCAAAACCTAATGCCTGAGAAAAAAATGCAAAGATGGAAAGAATCCATGACTTACCATTTTAGTGTGTTTTTATGTCTTTTAATCTGGAGAGAATTTGTTATTGCAGTGGTTCATTAACTGATTCATTCTTCTTTAGGAATTCCAGAAAGAACAGAGGCCAAAGCATGGTTCCTGGAAGGAGAAAATAGAAGGGAGAGAACTAGTAAGTGGCAGCTTTAAAGTGAAAACAAAAGTTCTAAAAGAGTGACAATTCTTGGAAGTAGGGGAGTAGGAAGAATTTAATACTCTGATGACTTCTGTACTCTAACATTAAACTTGATCAGCTTTGGGAATGTTGCTAATCCATTGACCTTGTTACATGTGCATCATTAAAAGAATCTTCCCGAAAAAGTTAGTCGCTGTTCTTATTTTTCCTCCTCCTTTTAGTTCATATTGATCTAGGATTCCTCTGACTTTTGTTTGTTAAGAATTTTAAAATGCCTAAAGATAATTTTCAAAGACCTCTTTTCCTAATGTGTATGATCATTATGAGAAACAAATAAAATAAATTAAAATCTCAGCTACAAAGTGTAAAATTTGATTCACCCATACACAGAAAATTTGCAATCGCCTCAGCATGGGGCAACTTGCCATGTGAAAAGTCCCTTAACTAACTCAGATCACAGTTCTTATGACTTTAACAGATAAGTTCTAGGGATTTGCATGAGGAATGCAGATGTCCAATGACTTACCCAAGTTTACTAGGTAACAAAAGGTAACAAGTATCAGATATAGGATTTGATTATAAAATTATAAAATTACCCTACCATGCCAAACTACCCTTTAAACTTAATTCAAAATTGATTTAAAAAAATCTCAATTGATAATGTAAATTATTATTAATATTACTGTTGACAGAATGGAAATAAATAAGGTAAACTAGCACTAGGGTTTCTGTATCTCTAACATTTTTTGTCATTCAAAACTACTGCATGCTTAACTAGTAGCATAGACTTGGTTCCTTTGTTTGTAATAATATTCAGTCATGCCCTATCTTTATGTTTTCCCTATGGTTTTTACTGAACATTGTACCTCAGTTTCTAGAACTGTCACTACCCAATTTCTTATTGAAATCCAATTGACTGTTTAAAGAGACCATGTCTGCTTTTCTTCCCCCCAGACATCAAATAAAACAGTATAATAAGAAAATGAAATGTGTGATAAAATCAATTTCAAATCTACATGGGAATCCCTTTGAATTAGAAAAAGTACTGAACTACATGTTTTAATATTGCGTCAGCTCTGTTCCATTGAATACCAGTGACAACTTTTTACAATTATCAAACTTCTAGAATTTTTTAAAAAGTAATACATTTCCAAGACAATGATATTAAATAATCTAAATCCTCCCATTTTAATTATAATATTTTGGATAGAATTTTTTTCCCCATTGGAATTTGCCTACCTTATCACATGAGGATTTGAGCATGATGAGAGAAAAGGCTGTTTCATTGGCCTTTATATATGATCCAGTGTGGTGCTTGCTTCTAATATGTGGGGCTTAAATAGCTTAAGATATACTCCAGTTAAATAGAAGAAGATGGGTACTGAACCTGTCACTGACACTTCTTATCTATGTGACCTTAAACAAGTAGCTTCTCATATCTCTATGCCTCAAATGAGGGTACTGAACTAGAACTCTGGGGGAGGGGGGAATAGAGGAATAAATATTTATATAGTGTTTACTACATGCCAGGTACAATGCTCAGTGCTTTGTAAATATCATCTCATTTGATCCTGACCACACCCTTTTGAGGTAGGTGCTATTATTATCCTCATTTTACAGGTGAGGAAACTGATGCAGACAGTGGTTAAGTTACTTGCCGAGGGTCACATAGCTAGTAAGTATCAGAGGCCAAATTTGAATTCAGGTCTTTCTCACTCTAGGCCTACAGTCTATCTGTTGCACATCCTATCTTCTTCAAAGTAATCTCTAAGTACTTTTTTTTTAGAGGTATTTGGAGGGGTTTGGGGGAGAGCTCAGCAAGTTACTGCTTTCACTCTGCCATCTTGGCTCCACCCCCACTAAGGACTTTTCCAATTCATATATTCTGTATTTCTGGGAAATAAAGTTTTACTTTTGTAGTTTATAAGGTACATTTGTAATTAAGGCATTTTGTTTGGTTAATAACGTGCTTCCTCCTCCAATCCTTAACAACACTTCCCATCTCCCCCCTTATCCCCTTTGGAAAAGATTTGGTGAGTTTTAAAAATTTACCTATCTTTTCACAACTTGTATTTTAGCCACATATACAATTCATGATGTGTAAATTCTGTCCACTGATGCTAATTTACAAACTCGTTGCAATGTACCATCTTATAAAGTTGTTTGGGGGCACTGAAGTAGTTTAGTAGGGGGAGAAAGTGTTGGTGTGGAGGTCAGAAAACCTGAGTTCAAATCAAGGCTCTGTCACTTATTACCTGCATGACCTTGGGGGAATGAAGTATAATGGATAAAGTGCTGGACTTGGAATTGGGAACACCTAAGTTCAAATCCCAACTCAGACACTTATAAGTTGTGTGATCCTGGGCAGCCTCTCTGAGTCCCAAGTTCCTTTATCTGCAAAATGAGAGGAATGAAGTCAATGACCTCTCTGCTCCTTTTAAGTTTTAAATTTATGATTCTATTCCAGGACTTCCTGACCCCAAACTTAGTCTTCCATCCACTATGCCTCACTGCCACTCACAAGGGTATATAACAAAAACATTCCATGAATTTAGCTATCCTTTGCCCCACTGTCCATATATGGTTCTTTGGGGTAGAGAATACTTTATTGCTGACTCACCTAGAGAACTCTACATATGTAGTTTATCTGCTTGCCCAGATATCTGGAGTGCTTGTGAGTCCTCAAGTAACTTGTGATTTGCAAAGTTTCTTTGCTATATGATTACTGGAAAGAAGTCCAAGCATGAATGGTTAATGTGATTTTTTTTAAATGAAAAGAAAGGGAAACTCTGCCATTGTCCAATCTGCACATTAAATTGGTGCAGCTTCTGCAGTTTTATTAGGTACATACTTTCCCTTTGGCCAAAAGTAAAAGGCCTCCAGCAAAACCCTGATGATTAATCTGTTTACTACTCACCCAGAGAGGCCAATTTGCTGCCTCCAGCAGTCCAGCTTCTCCTACCTCCTTCTTTCCTTTTGATTGGTTGACAAAAGGAAAGCATTTAGGATGACCACCAAGGAAGCAGTGAGGTGATTGGGAGAGGAGGGAATGAGATGTTTGTAGTGAATTTTTTACTTGAGGCATTCAGCTGTCTAAACCCTAGCAAATGTGAAAAATCATCAAAAAGGGAAAAAAAGACATTTTAAGAGTCACAGGTCAAGTCCAGAAAAGATTAGTTTCTGCACTATGACATCATGTAGCTTAACTAAAGCATAAGAAAGAAAGAATTGGATTGGCCTTCATTCTCAGTTGCTTTTCAATCTTTTTTTTTTAAATGTGTCCTTTGATAAAAGCTTAGAAGGGCAAGAATTTCAGACTAGCCTGTGGGGAGGGAGGTGGGGTGGAAGCGGCTTCTCTACTTCTGGTGCATATTTGAGAAAACTGATATAGCAGAGTGGGTAAAGGGCTCCCCTTGGCTTCATGTCCAGATTCTGACATGCTATGTGACCTTGATAAAAATCATGGTCAAATTATTTGACCTCTAATTGCCACAGGCTGCTGTTTACAACTTTGAGTTATAATGAAGTTGATTATCTTTATTTTTGGAAGGAGGTTCCATATCAGGAACTACCTGTACAGATGAAAGAAATAGGTGGAGGAAAAAAGTGTGTGTGTGTGTGTGGGGGGGGGTGGTGTGGGTGTGTGTGTGTGCATTCAGTCAAAGAAAATATCTTAAGCATGGCTTTGCTTTGTATACAATCTTACAAAAGTGGCCTCGTTACAACTGAATCATATTCACCCTGGGATTTTGCCACATCAAGAAAATCACAGGTCCAATCAAACCAGTCAATCACTAAGTATTTATTGTGCAATTACTTTATACTGGGCATTATTCTAGGCAACAGGGATGCAAAGAAAAAAGCAAAATGGTCCTTGCCCCTAAGAAGCTTATACTCTATTGAGGAAGAATGAATATACATAGGAACATACATTTAAATATGACTCCAAAGAAGAAACAGGAGAAGGCAGCCCAACTCCAGGTATATTTTTTCAAACTTTTTTTGATAGATTGATTAGTCTTACTGATTTTTGTTATTTATTTACTTTTAAAAATATTATTTGTAATATGGGATGGCTTTCTGGGAGGGTGGGGAAGAGTTATACTGGGAGAAATTCTGGTGATGTAAATAAAACAAAAGAAAAACAATAAAATGTATGTTAAGAAGTCAATGGACAACAAAGTAAATATAAGGCTCTGTGTGTGTGTATGTGAGTGTGTGTGTTTGTTTTGTTTTGCAGAGAGATACTAGCAGCTGACAGGAAGGGATCAGGTATAGATGTTAGCTCCACAAGACCAAGGATTAAATTTGATCAGCTTACTCAGGACAACTGAACTTCCTTTGCCTCCTACTTACATGTTCGCTCATGAACTTTCTTAAATGGCAGGATAGTGAAAAAGTACTGTTCTAGGCTCTAGTCATTCTGCCTTCCATCTCTCTGGGAGAGCTAGAAGCATGATCTTATTCTCTAATATCTTCTCTTTTCTTGACTTTATAGTGAGTCTATTCCTTTGAGTTTCCATATTGTCAACTCAACCCCAATTGTCAACTTACAATTTAAGCTATTAATTCACCACTATAACAGAGCAATAGAGCCATGGATTTGGACTTAGAGGTTCTGTGGAACCTTAGTGGTGAGGCTAAAGGTTTGAATCCCCACCAGGCCACTTACTGCCTTTGTGATCTTGGGGACTTCACAGGTCTTGGCCTCAGTTTCCTTATCTGTAAAATAAGGGATTGATCTCTAAGGTCCCTTACAATTCTAAATCTATTATCCATGCAGCCTATGTATAGCCCCTTCTTCAATCTATTTTTTTTCTTCTGGTCTAGGAAGATGAAAGATTCAGACAGAATAAATGAATGAATGAAAAAAGTGCCTCCTCTTCCAAATCAGTTTTTGTCTGGGAATGCAAAGGTTTCACTATGAGTGAATGAATGAATAAGTATTTATTACATACTTACTTTAGAGCAACTGAAGACATAGGCCTGGATTGCCTTTGGAAGTTCCCTACCTGACCTTCAGACTAGACTGGGACAAAAGAGCAGACAGGCATAGGAAACCTCTGTGCAGCCTTTCCTAATATGCTTGGCTATTAATTTCTTCCTCCTCAAGTTATCTATTTACACATCGTATCTTTTACCCTAGTTGAATGTAGTCTCTTTGAGGGCAGGCATTGTTTGCTTCTCTGAATCCTCAGGAATTACCATGGTGCTTTGCATATACTTAATGAATGTTTAACCACTAGATGGCATTGTCAGCTGCTCTGCAGATCGTTTTCAACAGGAGTTCTCAGACCTTGGTCCTTCCCCTTCTTACCTAGGAGGTGACGTATATCCATTCTGTTGGTAAGAAGTGCTAAGTAAGCCTGAGTTTCTGATGCTTCTTAGCCAGAATACTTCTATCCATGGATTCCACCTCTCTCTGTGAAGCAGAACTATCTCTTATGTAGGGGTATGTGGATTGCGGGATGTATCCAATCAGAAGAGTTATGGAGAACTTACTCTATTGGCCAAACTTCACTTCCTTCTTGAACTTGCTTAAAGCTGAGTCCTAGTCACATGACCCTAACACAATGGAGCAGATTTTCCAAGACAGACTAAAAACATGCTTGGGTACTCAATACACCATTCACTCACTTGCATGTCATAGCATCACCTCCTTGATGTCATCATCCTCTTTGTCATGGTCCTTTTTGAGAGTGAAGGACAAAAAACAACCTCTGTGAGTAGAAAAGGAGTAGAAAAGTACCCTACTAAGCACACAACTGAAACTGAAAAAATGTTGCCAGTTGGGCAGCACAGCTCCCTCCCTCCTTCCTTCCTTCCTTCCTTCCTTCCTTCCTTCCTTCCTTCCTTCCTTCCTTCTTCCCTTCCTTCCTCCCTCCCTTCCTTCCCTCCTTCCTTCCTCTCTTCCTTCCTTCTCTCCCTCCTTCCACTCTTCTCTTCTTCCCTCCCTCCCTTCCTCTTTTCTTCCTTCCTTCTTTCCTTCCTTCCTTGCTTCTTCCTTCCTTCCTTCCTTCCTTTCTTCCTTCCTTCCTTCCTTCCTTCCTTCCTTCCTTCCTTCCTTCCTTCCTTCCTTCCTTCCTTCCTTCCTTCCTTCCCCTTCCCTCTATCCACATAGGGTATCATACCTTTGCTTACAGGTGCTCTACTCAAAAGGAATGTAAATTTTGATTTCTGAAATCAGTTTTTTGCTAAGGACCAGCCTTAACCCAAATCACTCGGGCTCTCATTGATTAGCCAATAAGTCCCAGGCCAAGCCCCACTTGGTCATTGTTTAGGCCCAGATTGGCTCAGAGTGAATGTAAATAGCAGTTGCTCCTG